CGAACCCAGCCCGGGAGCCGCTCAGGGAGCAGCAGCTGCCAACGTGAGGACACACCCGAGCTTGTGCCACTGCCGCCCCCTTTCCTGGGTCCACAAGGGACCCCCAGGGCTCAGCGCCTCCCCCACTAGGAGCTGATGGGACAACCCACCCGGATCCGGCCCAGCCCGGAGCTGAGGTCCAGCCGGCTGGTTCTGTGGTTGTGTTTTAATCAAGTTACCTTTTGTTTTTAATAGATTTTTATTGATTTCAGAGAGGAAGGGAGAGGGAGAGAGAGATAGAAACATCAATGATGTGAGGGAATCATTGATAGGCTGCCTGCTGCATGCCCCACACTGGGGATGGAGCCCGCAACCCCGGCAAGTGCCCTGACCGGGAATCGAACCAATGACCTCTTGGTTCATAGGTTGATGCTCAACCACTGAGCCGTGCCGGCCAGGCAACACTTCAAAAACACCCATGATGAGAGAGAATCATGGATCGGCTGCCTCCTGCACGCCCCACAGTGGGGATCAAGCCCACAACCCGGGCACGTGCCCTTGATCGGAATCGAACCTGGGACCCTTCAGTCCGAAGGCCGACGCTCTATCCACTGAGCCAAACCGGCCAGGGCTCAAGTTCCTTTTCTAGAGCAGTTTTAGGACCACAGGAAAATTAAGAGGTGGCGCAGAAGTTTCCCGTGTGCCTGCGACACCCCCGCCCCCCAATTCTGATGAGCCAGACAGAGAAAGACAAGCACCGTAGGGTCTCACTCACGCGGGGGATCTAACGCGCACAATAGACCAACAGACGAAACAGACCAAGAACAGACCGACAGCTGTCGGTGAAAAAGGTGAAGAGATTAGGAAAGGAAAACACACCTGTAGACAGACAGCAGGGTGGGGTGGGGGCGGTAGACGAGGGTGGAGGAGGAGGGAAGGAGACTGGACTTAGGGTGATGAGCACACAGTACAACAGATGGACGCTGTACACCCGACACCTGTCCCATGTTATTAACCAGTCTCTCCGATACATTCCACTTTTTTAAAAAAGACGCTTCCGCCCGGCCAGTGTGGCTCAGTGGTTGAGCGTCCACCTATGAACCAGGAGGTCACAGTTCGATTCCGATCAAGGGCACAGGCCTGGGTTGTGGACTCGATCCCCAGTGTGGGGCGTGTGCAGGAGGCAGCCGATCCATGTCCCTCTCCTCATTGATGTTTCTCTCTCTCTCTCCCTCTCTCTCTCTCTCTCTCCCTTTCCCTTCATCTGAAAATCAATGAATATGTCCTCAGGTGAGGAGGAGGAGGAAGAGAAGGAGGAGAAGAAGGGGGGGTGGTGGGGAGAGAAGGCAGTAGTAGAAAAGCTACAGACACACTGGCCTGACCCTACCAATGAGAGGAGACCAGAGGGTGTCACTACTAGACTATACCTTCCATAAGGACAGGGACCATGTCCATCTTGTTCTAGTGTCAAGAAGAGAGACTGGACAAATACCTGTGCTGTACTGAAAAGCAAATCCAGATCGGCATACATAGTAGGAACTGCACACATTCAGGATGGGTAGAGATAGATGAATGAGTGAGAGGAAAAGAAGGGGAAGGAGAAGGGTAGAGGAAGGGAGGGGAGGTGAAGGGAATAAATATTGCTATTATATAAAAATC